GAATCTTTGTTAAACTTTGTATTTTAATAGCATCTCGTATTCCTTGCTTCCAGAAATGTAATATAGCCTGTCGTTGCGTTTCTTGCTTTGATGAGGTCATTTTGATATTTGATAAAATAAAATTTTTGTTAAAGTGTGGGAAAGGTATCGCTAAAAGTTGATAGATGGATCGTCAGGCTTTTATTTGCATATTTATTTGTGTAATTCTGACCAAAATTGGATAAGTTACGCCAGTTGATCATTTTTCGAAAAAAAATTTATTTTTTTTGCACACCACTGTATGTAAATGTAGATGCGGCTAATAATACATCAGTTAAATGTGGATGAGCTAACAGGCCACTAACAATTCTATTTGATGATGTAAATTATACCATGATGATAAAATGATAGATTTAAATAGGACCAAATTTTCAAAGTTACAGACTGGAGCAATTATACAATTTAAAAAGTTCATTTTCATGTGAAAATTATATCCTTTAAAATACCAAATTCAACACTTTACGTAATTATTTATATTTATTCATGCAGTTATAATTTGAAATAAAATATTCAGACCAAAAGCAATAAAGTACCCATAAAGTTCGAATGTTTCGTAGTTGGAGTTAGAGAAAATTTTTGTTTAATATTTAAATAAGATTGTGCATAAAGGATTTCTTTCATTTTCATCATGATAGATACCCGTTTTCTTTCATGATTGTAAATTTTGTTAAATATACATTTTAGAAACTTAACAAGTGATCAAGATGATGCATAACACTTGTATCACCTTTGAGAAAGCTTTTTTACTAATTGTGGTTCACATGCAAAACAAGGAATATTTTAATAGAATGTTATGATAAACCACATACTCACATACATATAGCATATTAATTGCTTATATATTCTCTTTTTTAATATTTGGAAGAGTATTGATGATTTAACTTTATTTTAACATATGGGGTCTTTGCAATAGAAAAGGAGGAAACTCCAAAAAAATTAAAATTTTAGTTTATAAGCCAAAAATGTTCTAAATACTATAATTTGTTCAGATTTATTATTAACTCATTTTTTATTTTTTTTTGAGTTTCCTCCCTTTCTATTGCAAAGGCCTCATATACAGAACAATATCTCGCAAACTAATCTACCCAGGTATTTTTTTCTAATGTATATTATAGTAATACTAGAATTCATTCTACATTAATAAACCCAGTGTCAATAATATTCAAAGAATGAAAGATAAAATTTAAAATATTAACCGATGCAGATCGTACCGCAAAAACAAATTCTAAAAATAACTATCTATCTCAATGATACTATTTTCGGAAAAAACCTTTTCCAAAAAAAAAAAAATTTATATTTCGGACTGAATCAGGGGGACAGTTAAAAAGAGCATTACCTGATATTTATTATGTGCATGATCTTCCCCAGAATCACTAACGAAAGGGCATCCTTAAAATGTATACCCCATGTATAAATAAATTTTTTAAAGTAAATATCACGTGATAAAACAGTTATGGAACAGGATAAGAGCCTTTACCCTCAGTACAGGATAAATTTACCCCCAACAAAATTTTGCGCTCATGTGAATGTAGTAAGTAAAAATCCTACATGTATCCACACTTAATTTTGCGACGCCACACTTAATACTAGCAAAAAATCACCTGAGAAATTTTGTTGGTGATGCTGGAGTAGTTCATTTGCATGATGATTTCTATTTGTATAATTTTATTTTTATTTATTTATTTTTAAAAAAAAAAAAAAAAAAAAAAATAATATAAATAAAACTTTTCACGGTGTAGACTCAAGCTAAGGAAAGTGCCAATCTCTGACGATCATGTCTGATCCCTTAAGCAATCTCTTACTCGAGGACAGCGATGAGCTGTTAGCAATAAGAAATACTTCCCTAACTCACCTCCCGAGGAACATATTCATGTCTTAGTCTCTCGCCAGAGATCACCACCATTTCGAGCGAAGTATTGGAAATTAGGGAACAACTTGCCTCATTGCAGGCATTACTCAACAAGTCCGTTGGTATGTATTTTTCCTTACCCAATGTAAATGAAATTTCCGAGACGGCCCCGAAAAAGTTTTACTAACCCGGTTGTTGCATTAAAGCATTCGATGTTGTCGTTAGTCCTAAACGAACGAAGGGTTTCAAGTGGACCGTGAATATCGAACACGCGACCCTCGATGGCCTCATAGAGTATATACGTAAATGGAGAAACCACGGGCACTTGTAAATGATGGAGCGGTGCTAAACATAGTAAATGACCGCGGAAAATACTCTCCTCTAAATGATCAAGACCTTCGTGAAATGCTCCAGCTGTTCGTATCAAAGAATAATCTCAAGTTTACCGTGTTCATAGAAACACCTTCGAAAGCTTTTTCGGGTTGGGCTTTCAATTCAGTTTGTCAGCTTTACGGTCTTGGTGGCGAAACAGAGGATCCATCAATGGCGGTGTTCCCAATTTTTTCTTGCGGTAACGTTAAGCCATCCCAGGAATCGTTGGCAGGACTTATGGCAGAATTAAAGTCCCGCCTCGACAACACCCCCATCAATTTACTTTCAATCTAAGCCACGAAATCAATATACGTCTATTCGTACCTGCTTGCTGGAGTATAACAATTTCAAGGGAAAGTTTGAGATCCGCCCTCAAAAAATATTTCTGGTCCGAATGGTCACGGTCCTCTCGATTTCGCGATTGACTTGCGTCGAACAGCAAAAACGGAGGTCAAAAAAGATGATTTTGTAAAGGGAGTCGCACAGTGCGCGGTCCAGCTCGAGTTCTCCTTATCGAATCGCAAGCGCAAGGCTGATGAAATAGAAGAGGATCAGATGCTTGGAAGAGTTTTTGGGATAGCTACTGATGCCGAAAAATTTTATTTCATGGAATGCACGTTAGATGACCAAGATAGGCCAAGCTTTAAGCCATCGGAGCAAGTGGTCGTTGTAAATAACAATGAGAATATGAAAACTATGGTTGAGAAAATTCTTGGCTATATCGTTTGGTTGTTGGAGGAGGCACAAAAGTCGGACTCAGCTGTTACCATAGGTAACGAGAAGGTAGTAAAAAAGCATAGATCATTGAGCAGTCTTGAGGGGAAAACGAATTAAAATTTAGGAGTAGAAAATTCGTCATGTATCACGGGCTACGTCCCGAACATTGTATTTATTTTTGCATGTATTAATAAAAATTCTTTTTCTTGGCGAAAGAAATCTGCGTTCCAAATCGGAACGGACACGTGATTATTTTATTTTGAATCCTTGTATAAAAGTGTGTTATAAAAGAGATTGACTTACTTAGGCAAGAATGCGCCAGACTTGTGGCTAAGAATTACGAGCTTGAGGCTGAGATCGTGAAACTGAGGCAGATTATTGATGAGAATGCCAGGCGTGATGTTAGAGTTGAGGAACTAGAGTAAAAAAAAATACGGAACTTGAGGCTAGACTCGCGATATTGGAACAGAGTTCCTTGGTGGTGGGTGAACAACCACAGAATGATAAGGAAGCAATTGTAGAGGTACTATCAGAGGTAACGGTATCAAATATTTATTTATCTAACACCGTAATAGACTAGCGAAAAAATGTTGACACTAAAACATCGGAGGAAATGAAGATGGATGCTTTCTTGGTTGAGGTAAATAAGAAAAGCATTGGTGACAAAATTAGAGATAGGAGGCAGGAAAAGAAGGTTCAGCATAAGACGATTGCCAAAGTCTCATTCTCAATTACTTCAGACTTGATTCACTGTGAGGAGGATCTCCATGACTAGCGCTGAACCTGTAACCCTCCCAGAACAGGTAGTCAAAGAATCGACTCCAGCCTGTAAATCAGTTACCTCTGGAAACAAATCACCAGCAAAATCATCTATGGTGGACAAACATGCTCCGACTTCTGAGTACATAGATACAGAGTGTCAAAAAATTCCTTTTAATCAAAAAGTGGAGCAAGATTTGAGACGGGAACTATCCTCCACTGAAGTTGGTGATAGTAAGATTAATAAGGCGTTAGTTACATGTGGATAGCACTAGATTCTTTATTGTTAAAGTAAGAAGAGACCATTGATCAGGTTTTCGTGATGCGACCATATTGACATAATTTCCCCAAAAGCGTATTCCAAAATCGATCCTGCGGATTATATATAATAAGGTGATGTCCCTTTTCATGCAAGTCATCATATCATCAATCAAACGAACAGGTATACTGTATTTCGCAAAGTAATAACAAGATATGTTGCGGCTAGATTCTAGAACAACGTGTGGATAAGAGTTAGTTAATTTATTTCGGAAATTAGCATTAGATAGCTCTCATTTACAGTATGAGTTAGGATTCGAGACCACTACTTTAATAACATTGATAATTAACTTTTTAAATGTATTGACCATACAATTTTAATAAAAAATTGTTATTTGAGCATCTTTATTTATAAAAAATATATGGTAAAGTACAAAGTTCGGATTCAATCAAATCATCAACTTTTGCATCAACATGTACAGCATAATCGGAATTCCCACTTTCTCCTTCACTATCAGATCTCGCCCTAATATCAACATGCTTATCTAGTAATTCTTTCCTTATGATCCGATCAAGATCTGTTATCATATATTTCAAGGCATCGTTTTTGAAGGTGACATCCTTTGTATCTGGAAGTAACCATCTATGATACAACTTATGATTTCCAGAAGTGGAGATCTTGTATCCTTTGGTTCGTGCAAATTTTATATAATTCACATAAATAACAACAATACTTGGATACCGCTATAAACACCGGTCTTTTATCTCTTTGGTTTATAATATCCTTCAATATGTTCATTTCTGCATGTAAATATAAATGTTGTTTAATTTTTTCTTCGTCCAAATGTGGATTGTTGTTATCTGTCCCATATATCTCCTTTAATTTGTCAAATATAACATGATCGTGCAAGCAACTTTTCTTAAATTTTTCATACTCTTCGGTAATATGAACAGACTTTTTAATAACACTCGTCCATGAAAAAATGGGTTGAGAATCTATAACGGGCTTCAACAAAACCAAATCCATATCAGAAAATTGTTTTTTGTACTTTTCATTACAGGCGCATGCTGTGATATCGACCAAAGCTGAATAGTAAGATCCCACCTTTTTGAGATGTCTTAGGAATCGTTCCGGAATGTCAGGATTGTCTTTGTTTGTTTTATAATACCTGCTACAAATCCCAGACATTTTATATCAACGTACTTTATTTACATCCTCAATATTAGCCAAATTCCTTGAAAGATAAAATATGTCGATTTTGTGATCCCTCTATATCATCCTTAAGTTTTTTAAGTCTAGATTCTAACTTAATAGAACAGTATCTCTTTACAGTTTTGAATAAATCCTTAACATCACTTCTCTCAAGTGCGTCATTCAACATCATGAGAGCATTGTTAGATATACTTTTACAATATTTCCTGATTTTGTTGACATATTTATAATCGTTTTCGCTCCAATTTCCATTTTTAGAAATATAAACAGCACATTTATCGGAAAAAGTTTCAATCTTACTGCTACCACTTCTTCTTTACTTGCCAATATTGTTGCCAGATTACTAGTAAATCTTTCATCCACTTCCAGCTTTCTTTCATCCTCTTCTCTTCGTTAATGACAAACTTTATGCTTCCGGCCACACACTTTACTGTACAATTCTTGCATTTTTTTTTTGTTTGCCATTCTGGTAATCTGTATTTATAAGCTTTTTTATATGGAAAGAATTTTTGTAAATCGAGCGACGAATCAACCTGGCATTGGGATGGCTAAAGCCGGGTTCAATCACGATATTTTGGCCATAATTACGGCATTAAGGTGGTAGTCCCGGTGACAAATAATTTGACAAAATAAGAAATAACATACCGAAAAAAAAATTTGCCGATCTTCCCTAAAAATAAAGATAAAACCTTACGTATTTTTATCCGCTCTACAAGTATACTTAGGCAATAAAAAGTAGGTTTACATATACAGATTTTGACTTTTATTTGACCGTTTCTAAATGATTGATTTAACAAAAATCGGCATTCTAAACTCCTTTTTGAATTCTAAGTAAACATGTAGAGCCTAAAAGATTAGACATAAATGCTCAGTTTCGAGATTAGATAACGTTTATGGTAAGTTTTATTTAACAAAACAAAAAAAAAAAAATTTCGTTAAATTACCATTTTTAGAAATGATCGGTAAATATTGGTCACGGGGTGAAAATTTGTTGGTGTACTGGGGTAGATCGCTTTGGCCACTCCGAAAGAGGACAGTATAATTAATGGTCGACATTTTCTTTGTTAAATAACAATAATCATAAGATTAAATTGAAAATCTTTTGAAAAGGGTGACTCCACACATGGTAATATACAAGTTTTAAAATAAACAAATGATGACAATTTCTGTGAATCACAATTAGGGGAAAAATTTTCTTATTAACGTGTAACCTTTCATTGTAATTTTGTTTGTATATCTATAACAAATTTATGTATTATTAATAATTGAATATTTGGAGTTAGGACCTTTTTTCTCCTTATAAAAGACTCTGCTTTCAATTAACTCTGAATTCAAGAAATTAATAACTACATTCACGAAGAAAACTCCTAATTAATGTAAAAATATATTGTCAAAGAAATAATAATCATGAAACAAGGTTTGAATTTTATTCTTGTATTCATTTTATTAGCTACGCTTTCAATGGTCAATGCGATTCCACCTCGACTTCAAAAAAGGTCAATTCCATTTGGTCCATGTCCCCCTCCTAGAGAGAAATATCCATCACCACCCCTAATCTCCGTAGAAATTGCTAATGTAACTATCACCCCCGGACAAACCAATGTTCTTGTGGTTTCCGGAACTTTATATGCAGATATCACTGAATCAACCCAACTTATTGCTCATTTTGCTGATCCTAATACTAAAAAATACATAGGCGAAATAAATAGTAGTTTTATTTGTGGCGGAGCAGGGTGTCCAATTAAAGCTGGAACTGAATTTAATAGAGTTATATCGGATTTTTTGGCACCAGACCAGCTACCTGATCCATACTCCATTGTAGTTAGTGTTGTAGATAACCTTAGTGTAGTTCTAGGATGCGCAACTGCTTTAGT